ACTGGCTCAGGACAGGGCAGGCTTTAAAACTATTTTACGTAAGTTTGCTATGAGTTGCAGGCAACTTGATAGCACATAACAACAACAACAACATTCTTTCTCCATACATATGTTCAATTTGTATGTTGAGCAAGAAATTATAGAAATCGAACAATATGAAGAAGAATGTGATATCAGGATTGGAGCAAGACTCATTAACAACCTGCAATATGCAAATAACCCAACCAGTTTCAATAAAGTGAAGATCTGAAGAAGAATATCAAAGACTTCAATATGGATTCAACATCTCAACATCAAGAAAATTCTCACCACTGGACCAATTTGTAAAGGATTTAGTTTTACTTGGATCTGTAATCAACACCCATGGTAGCAGCAGTCAATAAATCAAATGACGAATTTATTACATTGGAAAATATGATTTCAAGAACCTCTTTAAACCACAAAAAAGTGAGGATATCAATTTAAAGATTAAAATGTGCATGATAAAAGCCATATTTCCAATTGCATCTTATGCATCTGAAAATTGAACAATAAGGAAGACTGAAGAAGAATTAATACCTTTGAATTGTTGTTTAAGAGAAGAGTATTGAATATCCCATGGACTGCTAAGAGAACAAACAAGTTTGTCTTGGAGAAAGTACAACCAGGGTGTCCTAGGGGGAAGGATGATGAAACTTCACCTCACATACGTTGGACGTGTTCTCAGGAGGGACCACTTCTTGCCAATCTACATCATTAATGGGAAACGTAAAGGCTCAGCAAGAGAGGAAAACCTTCACTCAGCCTACAGGATCTGCACAATGGGCATGTTGGAAATCATCATGTGGCAAAGGGAAAGCAAGGTTCTAATCTTTTGTTCATAGGAGTGTGATTTTGCACCGGCAAGTCATAACTGACCTATAGTTGACCCTCCAGATGGGTTATCAGAGGCAGTTAACTGCAAGGGAGGAGATTGCCCATCCGAGGGCCTTCAGGATTGCAGTGCAGCTTCTTGCCGCTACTTGATGGTACCTAACTAACAGCAATAAAAACAACAATACATTTTTTTAAAATATTTTTCATAGTTTTATCCCTATTTATCAAGAACTTTATCATTTCAACTTTAAGATTGTATTTTCATTTGAGTCAGCTTTTGCAGATTGTATGAAGTATGACTCCTATTTCATTTTTATGCAAATATACATCCAGTTTTGCTAGCACTGTTTGTTAAACAGCCTCCTTCTTTCTCATTGAATGGACTTTGATCCGTTGTCATAAATCAACTGCCCAAAGATAGAGGGACTTATTTCCGGTTTCTCAATTGTTTTCCATTTATCTGTATGTCTATCTTTGAACCAGTGCCAGAGGGTTTTGATTACTGTTGACTGCATAGTATGTTTTGAGTCAGGAAATGTGGAGCCTCCTTGTTTTTCTTCTGCAACATTGCTTTGGCTATTCAGGGGTTATTTCTTTTCCAGCGTTTCCATTTCAGTAAAGAATGTTGTTGGAATTTTTATTCATATTACATTATATCTGTGTATCATTTTGTGTACTATTGACATTTTCACAGTGTTAAATCTTCTAATCCATAAGTGCTGACTGTTGTCTTATGTGTTTCTCCTAGTTTCTTGCAGTAGTGTTTTATAATTTTCATTGTACAGGGGTTTTACATACTTGGTTAGATTTATTCCTAGGTATTTTTATCATCTGGAAGGAGTGCACAATAGATAGTATTGTTCTATTTCCTTCTTAGAGTACTCTTTGTTGGTGTAAAGGAATCCAAATGATGTGAAGATGAGTGTGAGTGAGAGTGAGTGTGAGAGTGTGTGTGTGTGTGTGTGTGTGTGTGTGTGTGTGTTTTGATCTTGTACCTTGCTACTTGACTGAATTCCTGTTTTAGATACAGGAGCTTTCTACACTATGGAATCTTTGGGCGTTTCTACATATAAGATTATGTCTATGAGTGACTTCTAAGAGTCTTACCAATATTTTTCTAGGTAAAGATCCTCCTAATTTACTTCTGAGAACTTGACACAATCTATAATATTCCATTGTTACTGATTTCCTTATTGCTGTACCCCTTTCTAGAAAGTAATAAATCTTTGAAATAGAGACTTTTCCTCCCTTAAATATTATATCTCTAGTACATAGCACAGTATTTCATTTTAAGCACATATTCAAGAAATAAATCTCAAAGTCAATGTTTTTAAACTGTAGACAAAGATCAATAGGAACAAATATAACAAGTCAAATAAGATGTGTTTTATTTTTTAGAAATCATTAGTGAGAGCAATAAATTTGCCGTTTAGAAGCAGAAGTAGAAATGCCTTACATGAGGAGTAAAGTTGTTGTTTTTATTGTTGAGTCAGAACTGACCCTTAGCCATCCCTCTGGAAGTTGTCTTAAGAGATTGTTAATCGCATGGGAGGAAATGGCCCATCTTTCTCCCTCTGAACAACTGGTGGATTTGAACTTCATGCCTTTAGGATTGCAGCACAGCTTCTTACCACTAGGCCACCAGAGCTCCCTAAGAAGAGATGTGAAATTGGATAACAGAAAGAAAGATACAGTTTGTAGTGTTAGGATCTTGAGGTAAAAAAGAAGCCTTTCCTCAACTCCCTTCTTTTCTTTCATGAAAAGGATTTGGAACTATTTCAATTTTAATGGAAGAAAACAGCAAAGATCTAGAGGTTTGAAATTGTAAGGTTACATAGTCAATTAGTGTTGGTATCAAAACTAGGAAGAACTGTACAAAGTGGGCTATCATAGAGCATGAATATAACAGTTAAAGATGAAATAAAATGCTCAAAACATTCCCCAATCCCTGTTGTACATGGAGCAACAGAGGACAAACATCCTTCACACAAGAGAATTCTAGTAAAAATAATATAGTTTTTTGAAGATTCAGGATGTTGGAGATGTTATATATGATGACATTGAGGTTTCCGATGGCCCAGGAGAAAGTCCCAAAAAGGACTAAATAATGAAAGAGAGAGAATCAAAGCACATATCTAAGAAAGAATTAAATTTGCAGCAATGGCTGAAAGTATTACAAAAATTCAAGGATGGAAATAATTGGTCCTGAGATTTCAAAAAGCCTCAAGTGTAATAGTTCTGGAAAACATCTGTAACCCTAGTCTCCAAGTGGTGTTAGTAATCTGACAAAGCCAGGACTTGGGGTTGGCCTACTTATAGTAAAGAAATTATATGCAAAACACCACTGACATCCCTTTAAGACCAGTACTAGAAGTAAGCAAAAGTTATCACTCTTTTGGAACATGAATAAAAAAATTTCTTTAGAGATATAGAGACTTATATATCTGTATATATTTAAAATAGCTTAGAAATACTTCAAATTATGAAAGAATGAAATATTCACTATAAAAATAGGGAAAAGTATTAAGAATAAGATAAACATCATTTTTAATTACCAAGATAGCTCTTGTAGCCTAGTGGCAAGAAGCTATGCTGCAATCCCAAAGGCTCACAGTTCTAATCCACCAGCTGCTCCACAGGAGAAGGATAGACAATCTCCTCCTATGTGATTAAGTACTTCTGAAAATCTGCTGAAGGGTCAACTATGGGTCAGATCAGACTGGATGGTACACACAATGAACAATAGAATATACCAGTGAAATGCCTTGATATTTATCAGGTAGGAATCTGGAGTACATGTTGTTATCAGTGTGATAGGTTGTGGGTTATGGTGTGTGTTTTTTTTCTTTTTTCCATTCTTTTTCTATCCCTCTCTTGCCACCTTTGGTAGTGCTAACTTATAATGTTGTCTCTGTTCTCAGTGACCTTGTGATCAGTTTAAATTGAGTCCATCCAGTTATTCATTAAGGACTGAATGCATTTCACTACTCTGGTTGCAATCACTGTGGGTGCTGTGCATTGAAGGTCTGGCTCTGGCCATGGTTCTTGGGCTGATCCTTCTGGTTCTTCTAGACAGAGGTCAGACGTTGTGTTGCCATTGTGATGACAAGCCAGGAAACACTTAGCTTCTTATACTCCTCTAAAGCTAAAATAAAATGTAGAGGTGAGACCAACCCATCCTCTACAATAGATTGTTTACTGAAATATGAGTCAGTTCCAACTTGATGGCACACAGCAAGTTTTTATGCCAAAGAGATATTCTGTTACCATCATCAAGATACAATCTCTTAATATATAGAAAATCAGAATGATTGAATGAGCCTTTGTTAAAGAAATGTTCATTTCAATTACCCTATCACAACAACAATTTCTATAGTAGTCAACCCAAAGAAATGGTTTCAGCCCCATGAAAATAGCATACACATTGGTGCTTCTCATTTTTTTGCATACTGCTTCCATTTTCAGAGAGTCAGATATAGCTAAAAGGGGCATCCCTTTCACCTTTTTTGCACTTGACAAGCTTGACCTTTATTTTACCATGTGAGTCAGAGCAACTATATAGCATAACCATGGTAAGAACTACTATATACCACAACTCTGTTAATTTTTTTCATCTTTCTCTTTCCTACCACCTTTTTTCCTGCCACTTCCCAGAAGCATAAAGCTTTCAACATCCTGCTGTCCATTAACATAAATAAACTCATGCTTTTATAGTAAAAATAATTTCAGTTCTATATTTGTTAAAGAATGCATTACCATGGTAGGGTAAAAATATTCTTGAATAACAGGTAGACTATATATTTTAGAAGCAATAACAGGCTTTTATTGTGGTTCCCTGAAAGTCAATTATTTTAGCCATAGATTATAACCTTAGGACTCAGCACAAGCTGAATTTCTACATCAGAAATTATTAAGCCATACAGTCTCTCAGCACATGTACCTTCACATTTTCAGTTACTTTTATGTTACCAGTATGTTATAGGTATATCCAAGAAATAAACAACAAGAAGTATGAATTGACATTTAAATTCAATTTTCTTCTCTTTTTTTTCTTATGAACCAATATATAATGATAGATTTTTCTTCTTGTTCTCTTTTTACACATCTGTTGTTAATTTAAATTTTATATCATTTTTCTATAATAGATAAGAAAATACTGGGCTAAGAAAGAACAAAAGTGGCAAGAAATGGAAATGAGAGATCTTCAGCGTCTAGAAGAATTGAAGAAATTGATGACTGAACAATCAGTAAAAGACAGAGAAAGGTAAAAGAAAAATTTTAAATTGCATTGCAATGTAGGTGACCTTTTTTTGAAATTTATTAGAGGGAGAATTTCTCTCCTTTTAATGTGTCTTTATAATGCTTATATTTAGAAATGCCTAACATTATGTATTTTAAGCCTTCATATTCATACAAGCTCTAATTTGGCATTTTGTTCTTAAGGGGTTTTGTAGATTATCTTGTGTCCCTCCTAAAATACATGTGACCTTGATTAGGTCACAAATTTCAGTATTAACTATTCTGTGTGTTGTAAATCCTAACTTGTGTGCTGTTAACGAGGCAGGATTAATGGTAATTACATTAACAAGGCAAGAAATAGTCTTCAGGATTAGGTTGTTTGTATCTTGAATCAATTCCTTTTCAGATATAAAAGAGAGTAAACAGGGAATAATAGAGAGGGACCTACTATGGCAAGAAAGAAGAACAGGTCCTTTGGACACATGGTCCCTGTGCTGTGGGTCTCTTAGACCCAAAGGAAGATGGGTGCCAAGACAAGTGTAGATGTCCAGGTCCATAGACATTAAAAGGAGATAAGGACCTTCTTCCAGAACTGACACAGAGAGAAAAAAGCTTCCTCTAAATTTGGACTTTTGGCTTCTAAAATTGTGAAAGAAAGCGTTTGTGTTTGTCAAAGTCATTCACTAGATAAATAAGATAGATATGTTTCCATGGAGGATTTTATAGTTTTTGATTGCCCAATGTGTGCATGAAATGATACTGTGATTTTAGTGACTTAATATTTTGATCCACAGAAACTATTATTTAAATTAAATCTGAATACAGTAACTGTTAAAACAGAGAGAATGGTACTCAACTGTGTTATTATTGTTAGAGGCTGTCAGGTCAACTCCAATTCATAGTGACTATAGTATTAACAGTGGTATATTCAATACTCTTCACCAACACCACAATTCAAAGACAATAATTCTTCTGTCTTCCTTATTAATTGTTGAAATTTCACATGCATATTAAGTAATTGAAAATATCATAGCTTGGGGCAATTCACCTTAATCTTTAAAATAATGTCTTTGCTCTTTGATATTTTAAAAAGATTATCTACATCCTTCTTGCCCAGTATAATATGTCCTTTGATTTATTGACTGTTGCTACAAACAGTTCCAGAAGAATGTGTATCTGTGCTTCATCGACTATGCAAAGACATTTGACTGTGTAGATCACAACAAATTATGGTTAACCTTGAAAAGAATGGGAATCCTAGAACACTTGATTGTGCTCATGTAAACCTATATTTGGACCAAGAGGCTGTCATCAGAACAGAGCAAAAAAAAAGCACTGCATGGTTCAAAATTAGGAAAGGTGTTTGTTAGGAATGTGTCCTGTCTCCATAGGTTTTCAATCTATATAGTGTTGCATCAGGATTGGAGGAAGACTTACTTTTCAACCACCTATATTACAACCTTGCTTGCCGAAACTGAGGAGGACCTGAAACATTTGCTACAGAAGGTCAAGAACTATAGTCTTTAGATTCTCAGCACTAGGCCAGTTGGCAGCACCATGGTAGATGGAGAAAAGATTGAGATTGTCAACAGTATCAGCTTGGTTAGCTCCACAGCCAACACTCTTGGCACCAGCAGCCGGGAAATAAAAAGATTAATTGCATTGGGAAAGTCTGCTTTCAGGGACCGCTCCCAAGAGCTGAGGAGCAGTGATATAAGTCTAGAGACTATGATGCACCTGATCCAGGCCATGGTTCTCACAATTATATGTTGTGCATCAGTAAGTTATACAATGACCAAGGGTAATAGAAGAAGAATTGATGACTTTGAGTTGTGGTGCTGGAGAAGAGTACTGAATGTATGGTCATTACCACCAGGAGAACAAATAGCTCTATCTTAGAGAGGGTCAAACCAAACTTTTCCTTGGAGGCAAGGATTTTGAAGTTCCATCTCACATACTTTAGGCATGTGGCCAGGAGGGACCTGTCCTTGGAAAAGGACATTATTCTTGGAAGGGCGGAGGGACAGTCCAAGAGAGGAAGACCCCAGATTAGATGTATTCACAGAATAACTGGGACAATGGGATTAGGTGTATTAGAGTCAGTGAAACTGGCTCAGGATAGGGCAAGATTTGTTGTACGTAGGGTCACTATGAGTCACAGGTAACTCAACAGAACATAACAACAGCAACTACGGATATTGATTGTGGATCCCAGTAAAATGAAATCATTGAAAACTTTAGTCTTTTCTCTATTTATAATGATGTGTTTTATTGATCCAGTTGTAAGAATTTTTTTTTTCTGTTGAAGTGTAATCCATACTGAAGGCTAGTAATTGATCTTCTTCAGTAAGTGCTTCAAGTCTTCACTTACATTATGTCATGTAATATAAATGGAGTCCTGGTGGCATAGTGCCTGATGTGTTGGGGCTGCTAATCAAAAAATCAACAGTTCAAGTAAAGCAGCCACTCTTTTGGAGAAATATGAGCATTCTATAAAGACTTACAGCCTCAGAAACCCAGTAAAAGTTACTGTGAGTCAGAAGCAATTCAATGGCAGTGGGTTTGATTTTATATAACACACAACATTTGGAGTTAGGAAATAAAAAAAAAATGCTTCTTTCTCAAGCTACAAGAAATGAAGAAATAATTTAAGCCTCAAAGAACAATACTGGAGGATTATACTGAATGATACAAAAAAAAATTTTTAAAAAGTGTTAGTTGATGAGCAGCCATTTAAAAAAGGTAACATTCAGCTTTTTGAGGAAGTGCCAAACTGCCTTCCAGAACGGTCAGTAGCATTTTACAATCCCACCAACAATGTATGAGCTCCTTTCTTCCCACATCCTTTCCAACATTTATTACTTGCTGTCCTGTTAAACTTTGCCGCTGTTACTGGAGCGAGATAGTACCTCATTGTGGTTTTAATTTGCATCTCTCTTATTTCCAGTGATTTGGAGCATTTCTTCATGTGTCTGTTTGACATTCAAATATTGTCCTCTGTGAAAATTCTTTCTATGTCTTTTGCCCATTTTGTAATTGGGTTATCAATCTTTTAATTGTGCAGCCCCAGGATTATTCTGTAAAATATTGTTGTAAGACTCTTGTCTGAGATGGTATTACCAAAGAGAAATTCCATAAGACCCATCTATTCCACTACTTGGAATATACCCTGAGAATATGAGAAAGAAGGCACAAACTGAGATTTGCACACCAATGTTCATAGCAGTATTATTTACCATCGCAAGAACATGGAAACAGCTCAAATGTCCAACCACAAACAAATTTTGATACATTCAATGGAATACTATGCAGGAGCAATGATTTTGTAAATTATTACCTAATTTGGGAGAGACTAGAGAGCATTAAGCTGAGTCAACTAACTCAGTCTCATAAGGATAAATATTGTATAAAACCATTAAAGTAGAATGAGTATAAGAATTCCAGCAGGATGAGAGAGGCTGGAAGCAGAGGAATGTGGATGTGTAGGGGGGAGAAGGGAATTAATCATTGGATTGTACAATTTGATGGGGGGGGTTTGAGGGAAATTGAAAGAATTTGTTTGAATTTGTATTCAAATTTTGTAAATAAACTAGTACAAAATTGAAAAAAAACCACACAAAAAGGTAACATATGACCAAAATCCAAGGATAATAAAGGAAGAAGTCCAAGCCAAAATCAAGGCATTGGTCAAATACAAGGTTCAAAGAATTGGTGAATTAGCAATGGAAAGAGTTTTACAAATGGATGCAGAGGTGAAACTGCTATCTTGTTGTGGTGCTACAGGTTTATTGTTCAAAAATGACTCTCCTAGCAATTGCCTGACTTTACCACATGAATGGCTTATTGTTGTTGTTGTTGGGTGTCATAAAGTCAAGTACGACTCATAATGACCCTATGAACAAAAATCTGAACCCTGTTCTATCCTGCACCATCCTCACACTTCCAGACACACTAGAGACCATTTTTGCGGCAGTCACAGTGTCAATCCACCTGGTTCAGGGTTGTCTTCTCCTTTGCCAACCCTCTAAACTTGCCAGTATCATATACTTCTTCAAGGAATAGTCTCTCATAACAACATACCTGAAGTATGTGAGGTGAAGCCTCATCATTCCTGCCTCCAAAGAGCACTCCAGCTACATCCTCTCCAAGACATATACATTTGTTCTCCTGGTCATTCATGGGATGTTCAGTGTTCTCCAACACCACCGCTCAAAGAGATCAGATAGGGTGTATTGGCTTAGCCACAAAAAGATTGACTACACTCACCAATCCACAGTAGAATTAGTCTCATCATTAAATGGAATTGATCCAGCAACAGAATTGGAGGATCTTTTCCATTGGGAAAGAAGAAGCAAGAGACTGTAGCTCTTCCTCTGGAGCCAGAGATTGTTGTGACAGCCAGTCTAAGGCCTATGGGAACAGCAGCCCCAACAGCCACAACAGAGAACATGAGTCGACAAGAGAAGGAGCAGACCTTAAGAGTGCTATACCACAAAACCAAAGTTAAGAACCTTTTGCCCAAGTTTGTTGGAGGAGTGAAGGGTGGAAGGGTGAAAGAGGTAGGTGGGAGAGCCATAATTGACAGAACTGAGAGCTTTGTAACTTTGGTCTAAAGCTGTGAGGTTCAAGGCTGAGGTGGATGTGAGCACATTTCAGAAGCTGTTTACTGTATTCTGGAACTAACTTGAATTCTAGCTTTTTTACTTCCCCTGATATGGGCACCCATGGTGGACAGTGTTGGCTGGAGCTTCCCAACTAAATCAAGCCTGGAAGCAGGAGCGGCATCCACTTCCAAAATGGCTTGCCTCCAGAAACTCTATGTACGAACAGTGCTCAGGCTGTTCATTCATTGGGTCGCTATGAGTTGTCTGTGACTCGACGGCATTAAACAACAACAACAACAATATGGTTCAGTGCGGCCTGTGAACTAATGCATTGGATTTGGGGCCCAGTAAAGCAGTAAGATTGGGGTTGAGATGAGCAGAAAGAAGTATGAGAGTGTGGGGAACAGGTCTGATCTCATGG